TCATATAATCGTGGCTAAATTCTCGCTGCAGGGTCAAGTACCTCAGCAACAGCAGCAACAGTATCAACAACAGCAGCAGTATCAGCAACAACAGGTTCCACAGCAGCAGCAGCAGCAGCAGCAAATTCCCCAACAACAACAGCAGGTCCCAGTGCAACAACAGCAAGTTCCGCTTCAACAGCAACAGGTTCCACAACAGCAGCAACAGGTCCCACAACAACAACAGGTTTATATATTTATTCCACTTATTTTTCCATGCATCGACATTAGTTCTTCTTATGTTCCCCTATCAGGTATGACTCAAGAATATTAACACTCTCATTGCTAAGCAGGTTAGTGTAGTTGGAAAGTGATCACTGGGAAGCTAAGTTTATCATTTAAGCGGATAAGAGTTTTGCTCGGTATGGAGAAAAGCTTGGGTCTTCATAGATGACCTATACAATTGTACTTGATTGTGTTGTCTATGTGAAGTGCGAAAATGTTTTTTTTTCTGCTTAGCCAGCAAACTATGTTGCGGGATTTTCGTATTTCTATTTACGTATTTCGAAACAAATGGTTTCGGAGCTTAGGTTTTTTGTAATAACCTCTTTTTTCTATGTTGCTTTCAACATTTTTTATTTTTATTAGCACAATCAAGTGTTTCTTCCAGGTTCCGATTCGACATGAACCAATTGTAGAAAAGCCGAAAGATCCAGCATACGGAATTTGATTTCGGCTACGACAATAAATCCATGATTTTTTTTTTGGTTTTCCGATTCTAAGTTGGGCGAATACTTATAATTCTAGTTTATATGGTATACTGTGCAACTCTTTCAGCAAAAGCTAATACGGATACTATGCACATATTGTGATTTCATTTTGATTTACGTTACTTTTCGTTGCTTTCTTTATCTCTCCTTGTTTTTTCTTCATGGGAACTGTTTTCTTCTTCTAGATGTCTGTACATGAGATGCTTCTGTGAATTGCCATATAATTTATGTTTGGGGAAATACATAAAATGAGCAGAGGATAAGAATGGAAGTGTGAAGGAAAGACAAAGCATTTTGATGTTGTGAGGTATTTACAATAGTGTGTTGTAGTACAAGTAAAGATCAACCTGTAATTTCTGTTTTCAATTTCATTTGCTTATATCCTTAGTTGCTAGTTTATAAGAGGGTAGTATGAAGTGAGGTAGCTGGCATGGGATTATACCTATCAATGGCAGTCACATTTTCTCAGTGAAAATGAGTATTACTGCGGAATAAGAATCAGAATTACAATTGTTTGATCTAATTATTGTCAAGGCAAAAAAAATAGAACTCACTATGCGAAATAGATGGGAAGTTCAGCCCGCCAAATAGTTAAAATAGAAGTGCTCGCCCATGCTGGCGTAGTTTTCTCTAAGGCAAGAAATGACATCATCGTAAGCCTTTCTTTGAAACTGGAGACCAAAAGCGTATCATCTGCTACTTTTGTAAGTAACGGATTTCGTGCGATCCGCAAGGTGACATAGTCGAGATTAATTACTGATGAGGCAGAAGAGTGGAGGTATAGGAGAAGGACTTAAGCTATTACACATAGTAACGTACAGTAACAGAATGACATCAAAATCCAGTATCTGGGGTTTGAACCGTGAGAGGGTTGCAGCGCTGTCCCAAATAGTATATCTCAGCGTAAAGTGCTGGTATATTTACGTTACTGAGATTATAACGTAAAACATCGTGAATCTTGTCGTGATGTATTGCTGGAAAATGAGAGGTTTGACATGTCGAACTTGTTTTCGTCGAAACTAACCTAGCTCTCTGAGGTAACTGATTTTGGACATCAAAAGGTCAAACACAACAGAGTCCAAGGTTTCCTCTTCGAGCTTCACTTTTAAGGCACAGACGAGTTTGTCCTGGATACGATCCACTTCAATTTTTGAGTGGTAGTAGATGTTTTCTGCAAAATTGGAAAATCCGACAACCAATTATAATTTTGGACCATTTTTTACCTGTTGTTGTAAGGAGTATAGCGACAAAGATGGCCACTATTTCATCGCTCAGGTTCAAACCTTCTATCGAATGCACAAAAG